CCCCCACCTCGGCCTCCCAGAGTTTATAGGTTACAGGTGTGAGCCACCGCGCCTGGCCAGAATAGTGATTCTTTTATTTTTTTATTTTATTTTTTTCCCGTTTACCATTATTAGACTGGTGAATATAGTGATTCTTAAATGTGTGGTGGTGGAGAGAGAAAGAAAGAAAGATTTGTGTCCTGTGGGACTATCTGGCAATATCTGGATACATTTTTTTTTTTTTCTTGAGACAGAGTCTCACTTTGTTGCCAGGCTAGAGTGAGTGCCGTGGCATCAGCTAGCTCACAGACCCAATCTCCTGGGCTCACGTGTCCTCCTGCCTCAGCTCCCTAGTAGCTGGGACTACAGGCATGCACCACCATGCCTGGCTAATGTTTTCTATGTATATTAGTTGGCCAATTAATTTCTTTTTTATTTATAGTAGAGACGAGGTCTTGCTCTTGCTCAGGCTGGTTTCGAACTCCTGAGCTCAAGCAATCCACCCGCCTCTGCCTCCCAGAGTGTTAGGATTACAGGCGTGAGCCACCACGCCCGGCCCGGATACATATTTGATTATTACAACTGGGGTGGTTCTACTGGCCTTTAGTGGGTAGAGGCCAGGGGTGCTGCTAAATGCCCCAAAATGCATAGGACAGCTCCCATAATAATTATCCAGCCCCAAATGTGCCCCCTAAACTGTTGTACTGCTGTTGAACAACCCTGCTGTAGAAAAATATCAGTCTACGATAAGAATTACATCACTGAACAGATCTAACTCTAGTTAAGCTGGTCAATGCTGAAAATGCCCTTATTTTCTGAAGCACCGTGTTTCTAGCTCTCTCTCTCAAGGTCTCAGTAATAGGTACGACAGCTAAAAAGGAACTCTTGGCTTAAAGCTTGCAGTGGGCACAAAGAGTGTTCTGCTTAACAGATCAAAACACACGTGTGTGGCTCTGACATGGAGAGACCCTTAACATTTGCGATTTCCCTTTGCTAATGAGTAACATGAGTATTTGCATGTTTTCGGTTCCTCTGAAGCCGGCCAGCCATGGCAATATAATGATTCACACCTTGAGGTTGTTGCAAGCGCTCACATGCCTCTGCTTTACATGTGGGGCTGTGCATGGCCTCCAGGGCTTGGCTGCCTCGTCAGTGCCGTTTCCGGACCTCATCTATTTGAGGAAGTCTGTGGGTCCCCCAGTGCTTTGCTGACCCCTTCATGCACTGGGCTATTTTTGTGCAATGCTTAAATGCAGCTAATTTGGAATTATGCGGTATGATTCCTAGGTAAAGAAGCAATTTTGCACTTAATTTAATGCAAAGATTAAAATAATTTTTACAACTCTTCATTGATGACAGAGTCAGCCCTGTCTCATGGTGACACAGGGATATGGAAGGGCAAAGGGGCCTGGGCAGGCCCTCCCCCTCTGAGCTTCCAGGGCTGAGCACTGTACAGTAGGAGGGCATTATTGCCCTGTCACAAACCTCTCTGGGAAACTTGAAATAACTTCCTGAATTCTGTTCACATGGCCTACAGCCCGCCTACCATGTACCCTTCTTTAGCCCAATAATTTTATTTTGTTTATTTTTTTTTGAGACAGAGCCTTGCTTTGTTGCTCAGGCTAGAGTGAGTGCCGTGGCGTCAGCCTAGCTCACAGCAACCTCAAACTCCTGGGCTCAAGTTATCCCCCTGCCTCAGCCTCCGAGTAGCTGGACTACAGCATGCGCCACCATGCCCGGGCTAATTTTTTCTATTATATATTAGTCCTGACCTTGAGCAATCCGCCCGCCTCGGCCTCCCAGAGTGCTAGGATTACAGGCATGAGCCACCGCGCCCGGCCGGATCCTGAGATTTTTAGATGCATTTGACCCTGTGTGTTATTGATTTGTTCCCTGCATGGGGTGGACAAGGTTTCATTGTCTTTGAGTGACCTTCACAAAAATTCAGAATCTTCTCTTCCCTCATCCAATCTACTCAGCTGTCATATTCATGTGTTGCTAATCATATTTACCTGACTTATCAGTTCAATAGTAGGTCATTAATTCTGCATAGTCATTCATTCATGCAACAATATCACCGAGTGAGCCTCAGCACCTGCCCTGGTGGTGAGCAGGCACCACCTCTAAAACAGGGCATCCCATGTTTGATGTCATATCCACCCTTCTCAGCTTGTTAGGATGACAGCTCACATTTTTGGGAGACAGAACTGCACCTGACATGGAGGAACAGAGTCACTAGAGTCAGACAGACATGGATTCAAATCCCACCGCTGCTGCTCACAAGCTGGGTAGCCTTGGACTAATTGTGAACCTGTGTGCCTCAGTTTCCCCACATGGGCATGAGGATGTGGTCTACCTGGCAGCATTCTGCAAGGCCTTAGTGAGATCATCTATGCCAGACATCAGCAGATGGTAACTTACTGCCTGCCAACTGATAGGCTGTAACGTACAAATTGTCATCTTTGTAGGTCAAAAACAGTTGAATGTTGGCAACTTCATACAGTCCAACCTAATATGTAAAGCCTAGGTCCAGCGTCACTCTGCTCAATTCTTTGCTCTATAGTGGTCCAGCAAATAAGTGGAATGGTTCTGCTTTGTCGTTTCCCTGTGAGGCATCCTGCTGGTACAATACAGTGAACTTCAGAGGGGACAAAGTCAGTCTCTGCCATCATCAGCATTCACAACTAGCATGTGTTTTAAAAAGCTTATACTAGGCCGGGCACAGTAGCTCATGCCTGTAATCCTAGCACTCTGGGAGGCCAAGATGGGCAGATTGCTCGAAGTCAGGAGTTCGAAACCAGCCTGAGCAAGAGTGAGACGCCCTCTCTACTATAAATAGAAAGAAATGAGGCCGGGCATGGTGGCTCACACCTGTAATCCTAGCACTCTGGGAGGCCGAGCCGGGCAGATTGCTTGAGGCCAGGAGTTCGAAACCAGCCTATGCAAGAGTGAGACCCCATTAATTGGCCAACTAATATATATAGAAAAAATTAGCTGGGCATGGTGGCACATGCCTGTAGTCCCAGCTACTTGGGAGGCTGAGGCAGCAGGATGCTTTGAGCCAGGAGTTTGAGGTTGCTGTGAGCTAGGCTGACGCCATGGCACTCACTCTAGCCTGGGCAACAAAGCGAGACTCTGTCTCAAAAAAAAAAAAAAAAAGCTTATACTCTATGAAATTGTACTCTCTCGACCTTCCAGCCAATTAGTGCGGAAATAACCTGTAGCATTTCCTCAATTCGGGCCTGCCAGGGGGATATCCGTTTTGTTTTCCGTTTGTTCGTGCCCTGGGTTCCCGTCTTGGGCAGGCACTCCTCTGATGTCTCCGTACTTATCTCTCAGGTCACTCTGCTGATCGCCTTCATCTGTGTGCGGAGCTCTCTGTGGACCGACTACAGCGCCTACAGCTACTTTGAAGTGGTCACCATTTGCGACTTGATAATGATCCTCGCCTTTTACCTGGTCCACCTCTTCCGCATCTACCGCATGCTCACCTGTATCAGCTGGCCCCTGTCGGTAAGCGGCCTGGCCCTGTTCTCAGCATGCCCAAGTCAGGGTGTTGGCTGCTTGGACACCCAGCAGAGTCCTTCCCGTCTGCCCCTTCCTCCTCTTTAACCGTCCTTTGCTTCCACCCTGAATCTCCCATGGTTTGGTGGACATCTCTGCTTTCTAAAACTCGATTTCCAGCTACAGGAAGACTGTGGCTCCCATCTCAGTGTTTATTGTCTCAAGTGACAGAGAATGGGCTGTGATGTGTGAGTTGGGAGGAGGAACATGGAAGGCAGGAGCTGATGGAGAGGGTGGGTGTATATATATATAGCTGTGAGGGTTGCATGATAGGATTTGTTAGCTAAAAAGGATGAGCAGGGATAGGGAGACAATCAGAGGTTGCCAGATTTTTTTCTTCCCACTGTATTATTTTTTTTAAAGCTTTGTTGATATGCAGTTCACAATACCATACCATTCACCCATTTAAAGTGTGCAGTTCAATGGAGTTTAGTATATTTTCAAAATTGACCAACTATCACCACAGTCATTTTTAGAACATTTTCAGGCCAGGTTTGGTGGCTCACGCCTGTAATCCTAGCATTCTGGGAGGCCGAGGTGGGAGGATCACTTGAGCTAAGGAGTTTGAGACCAGCCTGAGCAAGAGTGAGACCCCTTCTCCACTCAAAACAGAAAAAATTAGCCAGGTATGGTGGTGCGTGCATGTAGTCCCAGGTACTCAGGAGGCTGAGGCAAGAGGATGGCTTGAGCCCAGGAGTTTGAGGTTGCTGTGAGCTAGGCTGACGCCACGGCACTCTAGCTCGGGCCACAGAGTAAGACTGCCCTGATGGGCAGAACTTCGCCAAGGAATGATGTCTAAATTCTCATTGAAGGCAACTGAAATGGATGGACTCTCGATTCAGAGCAAGTACTCTAAGAGGCTCTCAGCTCCAGTTCTCTTCTGATCTGGTGTTGAATGGGGAGGAGGAAGGGTGAGGTGGAAGAATTCCCATACTACCAGCCTTGGACATGGCCTGCAAAGATTCTTTCTAATCACAGGGAGTGAATGGGGTGGAAATGGATGGCCCATAGGCCAAGGCAAGAAGTAAAGATGGAGTCAGTCCTGCTTGTAGTAGGCTTATTGGCAGAGCGTTCATCTGCAGAGAAGAGGGAACAACAAAATGAGGACAAAACCAAGAGGACTTAGGAGGGAGGAAGGAGCTGCCACTACACGCCACACCTCACTCTAGGCTCTGACTCTGAGTACGTAGGGCCCCTAGGAGCAAATGCCTCCCGAAAGTCCATACTTGGGGCTGCCACACAAAGCCAGCACACTGTTAGCCCAGAACTCTGAAGCTAAAGAGAAAGGCACGCATCTCTTGAAGGGGCTTTGTTTCTCATAGTTGGAGCTTCCTTTAAACTGTCCAGCCTGAGAGTTGCAAGAAGCTCATTTGCTTTTTTTTTTTTGGAGACAGAGTCTCACTTTTCTGTTGCCTTGGCTAGAGTACCATGGCATCAGCCTAGCTCACAGCAACCTCAAACTCCTGTGCTCAAGCAATCCTCCTGCCTCAGCCTCTGGAGTAGCTGGGACTACAGGCATGCACTACCATGCCCAGCTAATTTTTTATATATTTTCAGTTGGCCAATTACTTTCTTTCTATTCTTAGTAGAGATGGGGTCTCGCTCTTGCTCAGGCTGGTTTCGAACTCCTGAGCTCAAACAATCCGCCCACCTCGGCCTCCCGGAGTGCTAAGATTACAGGTGTGAGCCACCGCACTGGGCCAGCTCATTTGCTTTTTAGTGGCTTTAGCCAGAGGGCAGTGTGCCGTCTACAGATTGATCTTAGGAGTGGAGCGGTCCTCAGCGGCTGTCTCTGCCCACGGGAGAGCTTCCTTCCCCTGCGGCCCCTTCCCTTCCCGCCTGCCTAGCATCGAGCATCCTTCCTCTCTTGCTTGGCCTCTTGCCGGCCCCCTGCAGGCTGCACCGCTCCTCCTGGCTGGCTGTTGCTCTCCCCTTCTTTTCATCTCTTCTGGTGCTCAGCTGCTTTGCAAGAACCAGGAGTGGACCTCCCTACCCACCCTCTGCTTTGTCTCTGCCCCCAGGAACTTCTGCACTATGGAATCGGTACCCTGCTCCTGCTCATTGCCTCCATCGTGGCAGCCTCCAAGAGCTACAACCAGAGCGGGCTGGTAGCCGGAGCGGTGAGGATGTTCTTGGAGCCTTTAGGAACTGAATTCATATTTTAGATGCCCATTTTTTCATGGTGGGGGCAGAATAGGGGTTGATTCCTGAGACCTTTCTTTCACAGATTCGATAGCTGCCTTGATCCAGCCGGCAGCTACCTCAAGAGAGCCTGAAACACGGGCCAACAGCGGAGGTCTCAGAAGGTGGCGTGTCAGGGCTATTGGCGAATGCAAGTGGCCCCAGGAGCCCAAGCCTCTCTCTCCTACAGCCACTACTTACATCGGGGACAAATGGGTTTTAATTCACATGCCCACTCTGGTCATTTGCTTGTGGCTGCCACAGTAATGTGCAGAGAAGGATTTTAGAGCCTTCTATGGGCCCAGGTGGCAGGACACTGTGATCAGTTAGTGATATCTGCCACAAGTCTTAGCTTTGCCGTTCCTGATTCTTAACAGTATTCTGGGCAGGAAATAGCACCCCTGTGCCATTCATAGATTCCTGTCATCTGATTTAGCTGACCGTTTACAGTACTGATTTGCTTCCCTGATGAGAAGGCAAGATTTTTACAAGAAAATCTGCCAGTGCATGCCACCACGCCCGGCTTGAAACTCTCTCAAGCCGGGCGTGGTGGCATGCACTGGTAGTCTCAGCTACTCAGGAGGCTGAATGAAGCAAGAGGATCGCTTGAGCCTAGGAGTTCTAGTCCAGCCTGGGCAACACAATGAGACCCCCATCTCTTTAAAAAAAAAAAAGAAGAAGAAGAAGAAGAATAAAAGAAGAAATAGCTCTCTGGGTGTAAGATTCCCTGACTTACACACGTTACCAAAATCCTCCAGGCTTTGGCCTGGGAGTGGGTTGGCTTCTAGAATTCCAGAGAGATGGAGTCTCTCCTCCAAAGGTCAGCGTGGGGGCAGAATGTCGCTGCAGAGGGTGGCCCTAACACTGATGGCTCGTCTGTGCCTCCCTCAGCACCCCCTCCCACCACCCTGCCCCTGCGCAGTCTCCCAGGAGGGGTGGTCGCCACTTGCAGTCACCACCTGCCCAGCTGCAGTGCGGGCTGGTGGCGCAGGTGCGGAGGAAATCCACGCCCTCTGCCTTCCAGGGCCCACACAGGGAGATCCCAGCCGGGTTGGATAATTCAGGCTGCACGTAACCGCGTCAGCCCCGCAGTCCCAGCAGCTAACATTTATCATACACTGTCTTGGTGCCCAGGACCGAACCTGGGCCATGGGGAAGCCAGAAGAAATTTTTAAAAATAATGGTCCTTGCTTATGAGAAAGTGGTAATTTAGCTTAGGAGATGATGACAAGGCACATGAAACAATTAGCAAACAAGGGCATTGTCATCTAGAATTAGTATTCTGTAGCAATATAATAAACTGTTCAATTATGCAGTGCAGACAGTTGGAGACTGGGATGGTATATAATGTGCTAATTGTGCAGAACAGACAATGAGAGGCCAGGACAGGCACTAATAGGCTAATTATGCACTACAAACAATTGGTACAAACGGAGCCAGGGAAGAGGCACTCGAGGAAGTAGTGAGTGTAGGCCGGTGGTGGCAGCTGTGTATGTAAACCAGCAGCTGGGCTTGAAAAGAAAACCAAACCTTGTTGAAAATCTTACCCTTCACCTGGCTGCTCCCCGGCCATTCCTGTCGGACGTCAACTGGTGATTTCAGCTGTGTGCTAGTGGTGGCACGGTGCGCCCAGGGCCTTTGAGTGGTCTGAGAACACCTGTGTGGCCAGAATGGCAGAGCGGGACTCGGGAGCCAGACTCCCTAGGCTCACGTCCCGTGTCTGGCCCTTGCTGGCTTTGTAACCTTATGCAAAACAGTTGACCTCCTGTACTTCCCTCTCTCTAGCTGTAAAATGGGGGGGGATGAAGGCAGGTAATACTAGCATCCACCTCGTAGAGTTGTGTTAATGGGATCCACACAAAGGGCTTAGCACCCTGGCAGGTACATAGCAGGTGGTCAGTAGGTTTTAGCTGCTACAGCTGCCAGTGAGTTCTCGAGGAAGGAACATGGCTGCAGGTGTCAGAGTTCCAAGGATACCAGGGTTTGTGCCTGCCTTCACCCAGAACCGTCTAAGGAGCCTCACCTCTAGGCCCCTTTGTCTCCCGGCACCTGTTCCCCATCTGCAAGTGAGGGTTTGGGCTGGGCTAGGTCAGACTGGATGGACCCTGAGAAAAGAAAAGTCCATTGCCCTGACTTAGTTCGGTCTAATATTATTATTTGTTTTAGTTTTTGAGACAGAGTCTCACTCTGTTGCCTGGGCTAGAGTGCCGTGGCATCAGCCTCGCTCACGGCAACCTCAAACTCCTGGGCTCAAGCGATCCTCCTGCCTCAGCCTCCCGAGTAGCTGGGACTACAGACATGCGCCACCATGCCCGGCTAATTTTTTTCTATATATTTTTAGTTGGCCAATTAATTTCTTTCTGTGTTTAGTAGAGATGGGATCTCGCTCTTGCTCAGGCTAGTTTCGAACTCCTGAGCTTGAGCCATCTCCCCGCCTTGGCCTCCCAGAGTGCTAGGATTACAGGCCAGTCTAATATTATGTGCAAACTATATAGAAAGGCCTCAGCTTCAGGCTCTTACATGGCTATAAAGCCAGAACAGAACAGAAAGCCATGACAAATGAAATGCAAGCAATGCCACCACACCAATAAAATCCATTTGAACATTTCAGATTTTTAAAAACCAAGCGTTTGTACCTCCATAATATTGTGAAATAAAAAAAAAATTTTTTAACCCAAATTAAAATGTATAATTTCACCTTATTTATTCATCCAGGATAATCAAAGTCCAGTGGCTTGGCCCCAACTCGGTTATAAATATGAACCCAAACAGGGGCACTGAAGTTGCCTAGAGTGAGAAGGGCAGGGGGCGGAGACCAGAGGCCTGGCTGCCAGACCTGACCTGGGCCCAACCTAGGGGACCTGGGGTGGGTGACTGGGTCTCTCTGGGCTTCATGTGTGCACCTGAGCAAGGACAAAGAGGTTGGGTCAGGTGACTCCCCCAACCCCCTTCCGGCCACAGATGGTCCAGGGGACAAGCACAAAGATGAGAAACAGACAGGATTGCCAAGTGATTGGCCCACGCCTGTGAACATCCTGTTCTCTCTCTCCACTGCAGATCTTCGGTTTCTTGGCCACCTTCCTCTGCCTGGCTAGCATATGGCTGTCCTACAAGATCTCGTGTGTGACCCAGTCCACAGGTGAGTTCTGGGTATCTGTACACAGAGCTTCTCTGGAAGTCCCGCCCTCTTGGCAGCAGGAGGACGGCTTATTCTTGACGTCGACCATAGGGAGTGACCCTGCTGCCGAGAAGGCTGTATCCCAAAGGGACCTCCCAAGTGGTGTCAGAGCATAGGGGCCACCAGGAGAACAGGTGTAACCCCATCATCTCTGCTCTCGTCCCTGTCTCCACACGCCCAGTGGCGCCCTGACATTTCGGCTTCTGAAGGCAAAGCATTTTCTTCATATAAGTTTCTTGATGGTGAAAATAAAATGTGTAGCTTTTGGAAAATACAGACAAGGGGGAAAAATTAAATAAAAACCATCTGTCACCACAGTACCCAGAAATAGCACCTTGGTGTCCATGTTCCCAGTATTGCCTGTTTGAAAAAGTACATCCCTGTTGCTTTTATTAAAAGGATCAGACTTTACGTGCTACTTTGTAACCTGTTTTTTCCCTCCTGCCTAGCCACCTGTCAGACATTTTCCCAGCGTCATTAGGAATTCCTCGCTGTTGTTCCTGGCAGCTCCGTGGTGTTGCATTGACTCATTGCACGACTGTGCTGCCCCTTATTTAACTTGTCTCCTTTTTGAGGGCATTAAGGTTTTGGGGGGGGAGGGGGTTGAAAAAAATTCTTTGTGGCTAAACGGTGCTGTAACGAACATCCTTACCAATAAATCCCTATACACATCCTTAACATTTTTTATCTTTAGAGTAAATTCTTAGGAGTAGAATTGCTAAAAGCTTGAACCCACTGTTTTAATTAATCCACTTCTTTCTTTGAGCCGGAGTTTCCTTTCTTTATCTTTTTTCTTTCTTTTAAAAGAACACATGAGCCCGGGCGTGGTGGCTCACGCCTGTAATCCTAGCACTCTGGGAGGCCGAGGCGGGAGGATTGCTCAAGGTCAGGAGTTCAAGACCAGCCTGAGCAAGAGCGAGACCCTGTCTCTATTAAAAATAGAAAGAAATTAGTGGAACAACTAATAGATAGAGAGAAAATTAGCCGGGCATGGTGGCGTATGCCTGTAGTCCCAGCTACTCAGGAGACTGAGGCAGCAGGATTGCTTGAGCCCAGGAGTTTGAGGTTGCTGTGAGCTAGGCTGACGCCACGGCACTCTAGCAACAGAGTAAGACTATGTCTCAAAAAAAAAAAAAATTATGGAGAAATCGCTAAAAGAAACAGCTAAGGGAGTTTTGGGGGTTACCTCTGAGGAGGAGGACTGAGGTGGGAAGAGTGCCCCCTCTTCACTATTGAATTTTTTTTCTTTTTTAGAAATGTATTTAAAAAGAGTAAAATAATCCCGATGGAAGTTAGCACTGTGTGGAGGACTCTGTCCTCTTCTGTCCTCCACCAGAGCAGACCTTGGGGTCAAGCTGGCAGCGTGTGGCTTCCTGGCCGGCTCCGTCCCTGGCAAGCTGTCCTGACTTTGCCGTTTCCTTCCCAAGATGCAGCTGTCTGACCTGGCCACAGCCTTCGGGCCCCGAGGGAGCTCTGCAGACCGAGGACCAGCGACAGCGACCCCACGCGAGGCTTCTGGACCCGTGTTCCCGTGCCAAAGGCCTGCTCTGCTGGTGGGCACAGGGAAGGGCCTGCCCTTCCTTTCTTCTAGTCTTCCTTGGAGAACATTCTGCGAAAGGAAAGTAGCCTCAGGGGACATCTGGTCCCTCACTTCCTGCTTTTAGAACCGCCTCAGGTACTGATGCCTCCCCCCACCACTTGGTGGGGGTTTGTGAATACTCCCACATCAATCTGCTTCAACTTCACTTTCCTCAGGGGAGTGATGCTGCCTTAAGTCCTCTTACAAAAACAAAGCCTCCTCCTAATTTATCTCGTTTGTCAATCTGGTCTCTGAGGTATCCTCTTTCTGAAAGTGAGCTGTGCCCGTTCTCAAATCGGAGATCTCACGTCTCCTTACCCTGTCTCTGACTTTGTTACCATTGTGTGTGTATGTGCGTGCGTGTGTGTTTTTTAATAAAACATTGACTTGACCACTTGCACAAGGATTTCCTAATGGACTAGAAGTCTGCAAAATGGCCTGTTACAGTTTCCATTTGAGTCTGTGTCTGGCACATTGGTCTGTCTAGACTCCTTGCTAAACTGCTAGACTTCTGTTTTTCACTCGTTTTGGGTGATGTTAATAGGCTGAATTTTAGGTTTTTGGTAAACATGTACAGGTTTTAGTTTATATTTAGGTCCTTCTGCAACATCGATTTGCTCAATTTAGAAAGGGCTTTTGGCCGGTTTCGGTGGCTCACGCCTGCAATCCTAGCACTCTGGGAGGCCGAGGCGGGAGGATTGCTCAGGAGTTGGAGACCAGCCTTAGCAAGAGACCCAGTCTGTACTAAAAATAGAAAAACTGACCAGGCATGGTGGCGCATGCCTATAGTCCCGGCTACTCGGGAGGCTAAGGCAGGAAGATCCCTTGAGCCCAGGAGTTTGAGGTTGCTGTGAGCTGCCATGACACCACTGTACTTCCTTCAGCCTGGGAGACAGACTCTGTCTCAGACAAAAAAAAAAAGAAAGAAAGGGCTTTGAAGGAAGCTAAGGGTTGTGTTTACAGTATGACAGTTAACCTTCCTGTCGTATGTTTGCCACTTTCCTGGTGATGGGCTGCTCAGTTGGCTAAAAAGAGGAAGGGGGAGTGGAACAAAGTTAGTTAAGCCACCCTTTGTGCGAGCATGTAACATTCATGACCACATCTATTAGTCGTTGCAGTGTTTTGGGCAGGTCGTAGGACCACCCTTTTTAGAGCAGAGGAAATCGGGCCTCCCTTCCCAAAGCACAGGGCAAGCCAGCAGGGACTGGGCTTAGACTCTAGGTGTGCCCAACTCCCACCCCTATACTTGCCTCTGCATCGTGTGGCTTCAAATGGAGGCAGCCCCCCAACCCCGGGGCTGTGACATGGGCTCTTAGGCTGCTCTCATGGATGCTGGGCCGCTCGGGAGAGCGAGATCCATCTGGAATTATCCCGGGAAGCAGCACCATGCTGTGTCTGCTGACAGGAGGGAGGGCATCCTGCGTCTCAGGTGGGCAGGAGCGGGGACGCGGCTGGGCAGCCCTGTGCTGAGCAGCTCTCAGCACAGGATGGTGGCGCTTGGCTGAGGAGGGTACTGTCCAGGTGGGGCAGTGGGGCACCGAGGTCCCCACCTGTGTGGTGACCATGCAGGGCTCACCAAGGAACCAGGAGCCGGCGTGACCATTCGGGTCTCCCCTCAGGAGGACAGAGGAGGGCAGGGGACAGTGCGATGGCCGAATGGTAAGAGCCAGAGTCTGCCCGGTGAGGGAGAAAAGCGCGGGGCGGGGTGAGATCTCCACAGACACCGAGCAGCGGCCTTGGCCGAAGAGGCAGCGGCTGGACCAGAGTGCTGAGGTGGGAGGTGGGGGCAGAGGTGACTGCTTGAAGCCACAGGGCCTTTTCAGAAACTGGCCACACACCCCAGCACCAGGGAGTAATTGGTTTTTTTAAATTTTTCTTCTTTTTTTTTTTTTCTTTTCCTCACACCACCTCAACAGGACAGGGAGTAATTGTTTAAGCAAACAGAGCTAAGGGTGGTGGGAAGAAAATCAGGTTGGAGTCCGAAGTCCTGGGTTCGGGTCCCAGCTGTGCCATTTACTAGCCCCTGACGCTGCACGGACAGCCTCTCCGAGCCTCCGTTCCTCATCCGTATAGTGGAGAGAACAAGCCCGTCCTACCTGCCTGACCCTCCTGGAACTCAATAGCATGGCAACGTGCTTATAGTATAGTTATCTCTCTGGTCTTAATCCTCAAAGAGGTACCAAAACGACAGGAAACGAGCCGGTTAACGCTGCCGAGGGGCGTGGGGAGTTGGACCGCTGGAAAACATCTTTGCTTTTACTTCCCTGGGCCTCAAATTCTTTCAAAGTCAGGCTTGGGGGCCAAGGGCAGTTTTCAGCAGGACTCTGGCCCTGTCGTGGATGCAGGGCGGCGAGGAAACACCTGCAGGAAATCAGGTGGGTTAACACATCCGCGGCAGTGGCCCCTAAGCTGGGTCACAGTGGTCACCCCTGCCAGAGGCCTGCTAACTCCACCTAACCTGGGGAAGGGGACCTTGGCTTTTCACTTACAAAGTGTGGCAATGGTTTTCAGACGCTCTGTTCCTCCAGCTCTTTTGGCCCTGGTGGCTCCCCAGCCACCTAGGGACATCCCGCAAACAGGGCCAACACCCCGGAGTCCTCGTCATCTTGGCAGCTGGCTCTCCATTGGCAGCTGAGGGTGCTGCGGACAGCAGGGAGAAGGAGACGCTGTGGTTTCCCAGTGGTGACTCACTGCCCCTGGGCTACAGCTTCAACCCCAGGGAGTGAGTTTCCAAGCCAGTGTGGCGGTGCCATTCGGCTGTCCCTATAGAGGACCAGCCTCGAAACTCAGGCATTAATTCATCACGATCCAGCATGCCCTGGCAGAGCTGACCAACCTTCTTCCAAGAAACTGAGATGCTGGCCGGGCGAGGTGGCTCACGCCTGTAATCCTGGCACTCTGGGAGGCTGAGGCAGGCGGACTGCTCGAGGTCAGGAGTTCGAAACCAACCTGAGCAAGAGCAAGACCCCGTCTCTACTATAAATAGAAATTAATTGGCCAACTAATATATATATATATAAAATTAGCCAGGCATGTTGGCACATGCCTGTAGTCCCAGCTACTTGAGAGGCTGAGGCAGGAGGATTGCTTGAGCCCAGGAGACTGAGGTTGCTGTGAGCTAGGCTGATGTCACAGCACTCACTCTAGCCTGGGCAACAAAGCGAGACTCTTGTCTCAAAAATGAAACTGAGATGCTGTAGGTCAGAGTTGGGAGCCAGGGATCTCTTAAGCCTTGTCCGCAAAGCGGTTTAGCCACGTGGCGTCAACCAGGAGAGCTGGCTGGAAATGCAGGACCCCAGGCCCCACAGAGACTGACTAAAGCAGAGTCACCCGCAGCATAACCGACTCCCAGCGGTGTGTGTGCATGCGGGTGCAGGAGAAGCACTGTTGGAGCAAAGGAGCTCTAGGCTGGGTGCAAATCTGAGGTTGATTCACTAGAGGAGGGAGATGTAGCAAGGGTGGATCCAAAGTAAGGATCCAAACTGGGAGAAAGACGCCTTTTAAGAAGCACTGCCATGCCTCCCGTCTGGGCGTTTTCAAGCCCTTGCCCCTTCCCACGTTCCAGCTTCAGCCCTCTGAGGCCCCTGCCCCACCGTGCCCCGTGGGGACCCAGAGGCAGAGCAGAGGGTGTGCGGGGAGCAGAACTGTCCGTGGACCCGGGGACAGGTCGTGCAGAACGGCACCCCCAGCCCCAGGGGACTGGGGAGAACCTGACCCGCTCCGCTGTCCCCAAGCTGAGGCCAGATGTCACTGACCCTGTAAATGAGGAAGAGGGAGCTCTCGGGAAGGAGAGGGCCCTGGCCCCTGCCACCCCAGGACGGAGCGGCTCCCCGAGTGAGGGGTGCTCGATGCTCCCAGGGGCCCACCCAGTGTGTGCGCCCTGCTAGAGGTGCGGACCGCAGAGGACACAGGATGCTGGCCTCTCCAGGTGCATGTGAAGGGTAGGAGCCAGGACTGTTCCCACAAGACAAAGAGCAGTCCTCTTCAAAAGCAGCGCGGGCAGCCTCCAGAGGGAAGGGAGTGCTGACGCTCGCTGCAACGCGGATGAACCTGGAAGACGTTGTGGTAAGTGAAATAAGCCAGACACGGGAGGACAAATACTGTGTGGCCCCACTAATGCGAAGTACCCAGAGCAGTCAAATTCATAGAAACAGGAAACAGAATTGTGGCTGCCAGGGGCTGGGGGAGGGCGCAATGGGGACCTAGTGTTTAATGGGTACAGGGTTTCAGTTTTGAAAGATGAAAGAGTTCTGGAGATGGATGGTGGTGGTGGTCGCACCACTATGTAATTGTACTTAATGCCACTGATCTATACACATAAAAATGGTAAAGGCGGTAAATTTTATGTTTATTTTATCACAATTTTTTTTTTTTAAAAAAAGCTATACAGTGCTGGGTGAGGTGGCTTATTCCTGTAATCCCAGCACTTTGGGAGGCTGAGGCAGGAGGATCACTTGAGGTCAGGAGTTCGAGACCAGCCTGAGCAATACAACAAGACCCTATCTCTACGAAAATTTTTTTAAAAAATTAGCCAGGGATGGTGGCACGTACTTGTACTCCTAGCTACTTGGGAAGCTGAGGCAGGAGGATCGCTTGAGCCCAGGAGTTGGAGGCTGCAGTGAGCTGTGATCCTGCCACTGTACAACAGCCAGGGTGATAGAGTGAGACCGTGTCTCAAAAAGTAAACAAATAAACAGCAATATAGGACCTTCTGTCTCAGCTCCTAAGTAGCAGACAGTGGAGAAATTGCACCCAACCCAAAGCAGCGAGGCACAGCCCACAGAGCCCAACGCCATATTCTAACAGCGAGGCATATGGATGGTGGAGAACACCTGTTCTGGTGTGCATGTGTCCTCGCTAGTCCACGCCCTCTCGGGGCACAGTGCCCTCGCATAACCCAAACGCCACACGCACCACCCCAGCTCGCACAGCAGTCACGGCCAAGCAGGTGCAGGCGAAGATGTGAAAGGAGGGAGGCTGGGCCCATGGCGGAAGGGCAGGGAGTCGGGCTTGTCGGGGCAGCCGGGGCCCCCGGGAAAGGGCAGCGGCCGCTGTGGCTGGCTACAGGGGCCCTGGGAGGTGAGGCCCGCACCCTCCACAAGCAGCCGGCTCCCTGGCCGCAGAGCCTCCCTCGGCCTAGCCTGGGCCTTCAGGGAGGAGGGGGTGGAAGCTGGTGCCATCCTTCTGGCAAGCTCTGCCACAGGTGTTCTCTCTCCACCCGTGCCTGACAGAAAGACTGCCGCTCCGTGAGGCTCTGGAAGGTGACCCCACGGGAGGGAGCGCGCCTACCCTGCAGGCACTGGCAGGGTAGCAGGGAGGCCCGAGGAGGAAACTGAGCGGAAATGAGGTTAATGATGGAGCTGGGCTTTGAGCCCAGGCCTGGCTGTCTGCTGGGCCT